CATTGTCACTGATGTTATTGTTCATTAAAGCTGAGTCTATTGTTTTTTCTTACCCTGAATCCAAAAAACTAGTATCCAGAGAAGCTGAGTGTGGAAGATCATTGTGGCAGTTCTGAGCCAGCAACGCTAACCCGGGCACTGTGCAGTGCAAACAGCTCCATTTATAGGAGCTCAGGAGGGGAGTGTCGCTCATGTGTGAATTTGCAAAAGGAACAAGCCATGTAAATTCACTTCATGTGAGTGGCGGGGGCAGGATTCTGAACAATTGTGTGTCTAGTTTATAAGACTGGAGCAACAAGATGGTGCAGAGGACACCGTATGTGCTGCAGCTGGATATGAGTGGCTAAACCATCCACCCATTTTCTAGAAGGATTTTAACAGCAGTTTGAAGAGCTCAGCCTGTTTCCTTTTTCTAGTTCAGTTTTTCTCCTACCCCATGGAAATATAATTGAATTACCCAGTATTTCCTTCTGCAGGAGATAACTGGGTTGGATGTCCTTCAATTAGTCATGGCAAATAATGACTTTCCTTTCATACTGTGCCAGCAGAATACAGCAAAGTAGTGACACGATCTATAGTGTTGGAAACGAGCCCTGGTAACAGGACACTACTGCATGTCACAGCGAGGGCCGGTACAAGGAAGTTTCGCACCCTAGGTTAAACTTCCACCTTGTGCCCCCCCCACCCGCCCTGCAGCAGCTTCCCCCCTGCCCTTAAGCGCCTCCCCCCCCGCAACTGCTCCCCCACCCGGGGAGCCGTGCAGCACCTCCCCACCCCATCTCACCTCTGCTCCGCCTCTTCCCCGAGCACGCCGCCCCTGCTCTAATTCTCCTCCACTCCCAGACTTGCGGTTCCAAGCAGCTGATTGGCCCTGCAAGCCTGGGAGGTGGGAGAAGTGGAGCGAGGACCGCGCACTCGGGGAGGGGGCGTAAGAACGCTGTTAAAAAAAAACTGGGGCCACCGCTTTTTGGCACCCCCAAATCTTGGTGCCCTAAGCAACTGCCTAGTTTGCCTTAATGGTAGCACCGGCCCTGGTCACAGCTGGGCTCACTGTGTCCCTGGCCAGCATACTCAGCCCCACGCACTGAAGCATGTTTCAGAACCTCGCCCTGTGTCCATTGTGGGTGAGAAAGGGATCTGGGCAGAAACTAGAATGGGGAGAGATTTTGAGTAACTGGCAGTCTCTTGTATTGCAGGCCTTAAACGCCACTGGTCCCACTGATGCGCCAGGTGTGTCTTTGGCTGGAAGGGAGGCTATAATAACTTCTCAGCAGAGTCTGTTTATTGCATTTAAACACTTTGATGTTGAATTTTAATCTAGATCATTGAATTCTATGTGGGAATAAGGCCATCGTAGCCCCATGCTGCTCCAAAGGCTTGGTTAATGCAGTGTTAGAGGCAATTTTGCACATGTATAATAATGCATGGTGCACATTTTGGTGTACGTGTAAATACAATGAAAATCGCCCGAGTGGCTTTTATTGTAAAGTGCAATAGTAGAGACCCACTGTTCAAATTTTATTTCTTATTTATTCTCTGCCAATAAGAAAACAGATTTTAATTTTTTTTTTTGGTGCTAAAGATTTTCTGCTCTACTCTTTATACTGTTTGCTTCCTAAGCAACATGATCATGGCTTTTCTGTTGCCAGCATTCCCTGCTCTGGCTTGTGAAGAGAGAACCTCTCTCTCTACTTCTCATGAGAATAACTAGCTTCTGTTGAAGGACTTGATCCATACAGACTGGCTGCACCTTGATTACCTTTCCTCAGCAAGGCCCTCCCAGCTGGGGTACAGAAAGTGTGGTGCGGATTTACTGCCTGCCAACCCCTAAATACCCCCAAACCAACCTGCAACAAAACCAAACCGTGCTGTGGCTGATGATGCAGCAGGGCCCCCTCCTATGGGAATGGTGGGGATGGGTTGCTCCAGATTTGCATCAACACCTATAAGGGGCACCAAATTCATTGTCCTCCATCATGATGTCATCTTTACCTCCATGGAACCCTATTCTGCAAAGAGCAGCCCAGCTAGACAAATGTGGCTAAAGGCATCTTTTCTGTAACTACAGTGAATTGAGCAGAGTTGCCTCAGGGATGAATTTAATCTATATTGTGCCAGAGGTTTTGATCTTTATTGTGTGACTTCCTTTTGTTGGCTCTAAGCAGGTATCAGACGCCTCCTTGGGCATTTAGATCATGGCTGCTGGTGAGGGTACAGGAGAGATGAGGGTAATTACAGCTCCAGCTCTGTGAGGAATCCCATAGGCCGGAATTTTCAGAGGGGTGAGGCAGGAGAGCAGTGGGGCCGGTGGATGCTCAGGGTTGGCTGAGGTGGTTTCTGCAGGGTTTCGTGGGGGTAGAGCTTAGTGTGGGCTCACTGGTGGCTTTGGAAATACAAGGTGATTCCACCCAGTGCAGGCTGACGGGGTCTAACACACGGTGGCTGGTGTAGGGTGACCAGATAGCAAATGTGAAAAATCGGGACAGGGGGTGGCGGGGTAATAGGTGCCCATATAAGAAAAAGCCCTGAATATCGGGACTGTCCCTATAAAATCAGGACATCTGATCACTCTAGGCTGGTGTGGGTTGTAAGAGGACGCACCACAGCCTTCGGACAAAACAGGAGAGCTCTGCAGAGTCTCAGGCCTTCCACTAGTACAGAAACACAGACAGGAAATCATCCGGACGGACAGCAGAGAATTCAGTGGGAAGATTCCAGCCTTGACTCCCTTTCTTACCATAGTTCAGTTGTTACTCTCAAATAACAGGTTCTTGCTCAGAGTGTGTGAGACTCAGTTTTCGTTTCCAAAAATGATTGATGGTTTATAAAGGTCCAGCCACTGCACCCACCCCCTCCCGGATAACCCTTTGCCATCCAGGAGGCTGTATCAGGAGCTCATTTTACAGCTAGGCCTTTGGGAAGTAAGAAACGTCATATTGTTCATGGAATGAGCTGAGGAAGGCTGGCGGCCCGTATCACATGTGACTAGCTGACTGTAACCTAATTGAACTTTGTTCACACAGCTGTAACAAAGTCCTGGTTTCACGCGTCTGTCCTGCTTTGACTCCCCGAACCACCTGTCCTGGTTGAAGTGGTTCCTCTCCCGCATCACTGGCGGGGCTTAGTTCCCTGCTCTGGCCATGCAGATACAGAATCTAGTACCATGTGCTGTCCTAGCTGGACCAGGGATAGGTCTGGTAAATAACTGAATGGGAGACTGTCTGGGAAAATGGAAATGGTGCTGATGGTTTAGTAGGAGGCGTTCATCCCTCTGAGTCTGTACTGAATCCACAGTCTCCTGTGTTATGAGGGGGCTGCACTGCAGGGGCTGGTCTTTTGGATGAGATACCAAACTAGAGCCAGGATCACTTGGGGTCTTCAGACATCCCAAGGCAAGTTTCGCAATAGCAGGGCTCAGGATTAGTACCAGTGTTGTGGAAGAATATAAATGCGGCCCAATGAAACTATACTGGAATTTCTAATGGCATACAGTGAACTTTGCATTCAAGTATCTGGTGTTACTCCTTCCACCCCCGTGGAGCTGGGTTTCAGTGGAGGGTGAACTGATCCCTGTACTTTGTTTGTTGATGACTTTGGGATCATTGCTGCTATAAAAGTGTCAGGTGTATTTTGAGTTACTTCCTCTCTTTTATTTGCATGAAATCATAAAATTCACCCTTCTGGTCACAGCTGTAACAAATGATAAGCATCAGCTCTCTCTGTTTACAGGGAGGTTTTTGTAATGGTCTGTATCACTGTGTGAGGGAAGCTCTGGCGTTGCTGACAGTAATAATCTCCAGCATCTTCAGCTTCAACGCTGCTGATTGTGAGAGTGAAATCGGTCCCAGACCCACTGCCGCTGAACCGGTCTGGGATCCCAGAGACACGGTTGGTAGAATCAGAGATAAGGAGCTTAGGCGCTTGTCCTGGTTTCTGTTGGTACCAGCCTAAGTAGTTGCTAATGCTGGTACCGGCTTTGCAGTTGATGGTGACTCTCTGTCCAAGAGACACTGACAGGGATTCTGGAGTCTGAGTCAGAACAATTTGGCCATAGGAGTCTAGATATGGAAAGAAAATTCAGGCAATCATGGCACATCTTTAAAAGTAATTAAAACTGGATATTTAAATACATTTTTCATTAATCATTTATTTAAGACTAGTTTGCTAAATAAGTAACATAGTATTATTTTAAACCCAACTTGCATTTTATTGCCTATGAAGTCTGTTCCCTGTTGATATAATGCTCACCCTGAATCCAAAGCACTAGTATCCAGAGAAGCTGGGCCTGCGAGAGCATCTTGACAGGTCTCCGTGGGGAATGCAGAACAGCTCACCAGGCAGTGCAAACGGGACCATTTATGAACTCTCAGCAGCCCAGCCAGGGAACGTCCTTCCTGAGTGAACATGCAAATGACCTGTTCATATAAATGTGCCGCGTTTTCATTACGGGGCATTTCCTGTTGCTCTTGTGCAGTGTTGGTCTCTGTAACCTGGTGACAGCGATGTATGAGGTAAAAATGCAAGACTGGAGGTTTAATAAATGGAATAACAGAAGGTGCTCTATGGAGAGGGCACTAGAAATATGGCATGTGAGCTGGAATTTTAGCAGTTAAAATCTTCCAGCCATTTTTACAGCATTTTTCGTATCCATTTACCTCAATTTACCTTTGCGTTATTCTCCCTGCCATGAAAATATTCATAGATTCTCCCCAGTGTCCTTGCCCAAGGAGATAGTTGGGCTGATGTCCTGTCTAGATTCTTTTTACCATAAGGCCCTTCCTTCGGGACAGATTGTTACTGGTGCCTCCATGGGTGTGCAAAGATGGGGATGTGCTAGGAGCCCTCCCATGCAGGGGCTAGACACATTGCTGTCCTTGCACCCACCCAAACCCAAGGGATGTCTGGAGCTAGCACCGCTAACCACCCCAGAAGTGACTGTGAGCCAGGATCTCCACCCCCTGCACTAGCCATAGAGATGGCCAGCTGTGGAAGGGAGGGTGTGTGCAGCGCCCACTTCAGGAGCAGAACAGCAGCTGCATTCCCCCTGCTTGCCAAGCGGCTCAGAAAAACATTGAGTAATTCCTTGTGAAGCTGCTTCTTCTTGGCCGTGCTCCCAGTGGAGATCTGTGCAAACTGGCTTGTGTGGGCCCTTTCTTTGGGGAAAGCAGGGAGAGTGTAGACCTCATTAGAGAGTGTGGATCTTTGTCCCCCTCCAATGACTCTGTAAGAGACTTGTGTTCTGGAGTCCCCCTATGCCATAAAGATGCTTAACTCCCTTTGGTTTCAGTGGGAGTTAGGTATGTAAATAGCTTTGCGGATCTGGATGTAAGTGCCGAAATCCTGTCTGAAAATGAGGCTAAGGAACCCAAGTCAGTTAGATGTTGGAAAACTGAGAGGAACCACACCCAACTCTCCTTAAAAATCTGAGCTCCAGTGCTCTGGTAAAGTCACAGCTGAGAACAGTAATCCCCTGGCTCCACACATAGTTTCATCTTGATAAAGATTCTCTTTCTGTTTTGAAAGGTTGCTTTGTACTCTAACGGATGCTGACTTCCACCCAGACGAGGATGCCTGGTGATGTTGCAGCTATTTCTTAAGTTTGTTGAGAGCTCTGCAGTCTGTGGCTGAAAGGTGCGACAACATTGTCTGTAGAGATCAGTTATTAACTATCGTAAGAATGTCCTGTTTTTGTTTGGCATGAAAGTTTTATATTTCTCTGCCTCACTCTCATTTACTATATTTTTACTAAAAGAACAGGAGTACTTGTGGCACCTTAGAGACTAACAAATTTATTAGAACATAAGCTTTCGTGGACTACAGCC